CTTAAAAGACTGGCAACCCACTTGCGAGTTTTCTGGCAATGCGAGTGTCCATGGGCGGTATCGCTTAACATCAGGTGAGCCTCCTGCCCGAAAAAAAATGGCAGTAAATTTTTGTAATTCTAAATTTATAATCGATAATTTCTAAATTTAAATAAAGTACTTTAAGTACTTTTTGAATTTGTTTTAATTTTCTTTTTATTAATTTTTATTATTACTCGATTGTTATGATTACCCATACTATTTCTTTGATTTAATTGACACTTTAACCAATCTTAAACCGCGATAATCCAAGTGACTATTTAGGCGTGAAAGGTGATTTTCAGTAATTGACTAGCATCGAAAAAATAATCTCATAATTAATGAAAATGTACGTAAACAGTGGCTAATATAAAGAATACAAAATAAAAAGGTTGTGTAAGTATTCGAGTATCGGCCTATTTGGCTTCACTCCAGGCTGTGTATTTAGTTATCCACTGCAAAGGAATTGTTGCCAGGATACGCCGTAACCGTATTCTTTATTTACTTAACATATATTTATATAGAGAAATATAAGTTATAATAAAACATGTTATATAAACCCATTTATTAATTTCCTGGTAGACGAGTGGTAGTCTGCGCTCTGGGAGACTCCCCATCTGTGGCTTAAACGGAAATTACGATATGGTGGAATGTCTGCGCTCTTTGTCATTTACAATACGCTTAACGTAATTGAATTGTGGGTTTAACAGCCATTTCTAATATTGAAAACTACTTAACGGCGAATCGCTTCTTTCAACCTGTGTGACTTTCTCTGATCTAATATTTCGTAAACACAATGTTAAGTACTGAAAAATAAAGATAATATTCTAAACTTTAAAATTGCGTTCGTTTTAGCCTAATTCAATCAACAAGTCTCTTGTGATATCCATGTAATACTAAATCGGTAAATTTATTCAGTCCCTACTAAAGGGACCTTCTGTCTTCAGTTATTACGTAATTAGCTAACCTAAAATCATCTTATAGTGAAGAAATCTTATATGTTTCAATTCAGGCTACTAGTTTTATCCACAACGATGTTATAGGGAGTCAAAAATGGACTGAACTGCTTCGAGGAAAGGATAGAACAAATGATTTCAAAATATTATTACAATACTGCAATGCACTTATCATTACAGTTAAAAGTTCTTACATTTCTTGACATGAAATTGTAGGCTTTTATTTAAATTCCCTGCGAAGTGGTTGCCGATGACGCACTCAGCCCATTACTATTCAAGCGCAGTCAGATGTAAAGCCTACTATTTGCGTCACCCTACTTACTCATGTTTAACCCTTAGTGCGTCTTATGTTTACGAAACAATAATCATTGCTTTCTTGTTAATAAAGTAGGTTGGAACTATTATTCCTCAATATTTATAAGCTTTTATAATGTAAGTCTACTATAAAAAAGGCTGCGAACGCACCCACTGTTTTTCGAATCGGATGTGACTGTCTGTACTGTATCGACTGGAACCCCCCTTACCTGCTGAAGTGTAGGGTCGTTTACCTACATTATAATGAATGTTGAAGTAATCATACTATTCAATAAATATTACATTTTAAAAATAATTACTTTAGTTTCACACCTATTACACATTAACCTTAAAGATACTCAACATTTCGGATCTCCTTGAATCAATATTCAACATAGACACATCTTTGATCTCCAAAGGTTAACACATTCTCCAAGTCCCAGTTGTTATTTGTTCTTGAGATAAGAAAACTTAGTGAAGGGATAAGCCGAGTGCCCGAGGACACACGCCCACCTGCCCTCGCGAATACATTAAACTTTTTGTAACATCGCTTAAGGCTTGTTCATATATCAGTCATCTCGATCTTAAAGTTTTAAACGCTTTGATGTTCGAATCATGTTTTGATATTATGGCGATGGCTTATTTTTCCACGTCTAGTCTAGTATACAATTTTAGATGTACATTAATATTTTGTCACAATTTAAGGTCAAACACAGACTTAGTTATTGACTTAATAAATTTAAAGAAAAGCGATAGAGAACTCTTAAAATAATTAAATTGTATTACCATAGTTACAATCGGAATTCACTGCCGTATGCTAACTTAAATCAGACATTACCTATTTTATATATTGGAGCTAGGTTGCTTCATTCTTTACCCATAATAAAATTATAATATTAATTGATATTAACATAGGGAATACAATTAAATAGACAACCCTGACTATAGATGTTAGATGAGCTTAAAAACTTTAAACATGTCTTAGTTGATTCCATAATGCGAACATATGTACGTAGTCACAGGTTGTGTCGAGTTGATGGGTAGTTATAAAAAAAAAAAGATTAATTATACAGTCCTAAGTAGGTGAAAGGAATTATTATAAAATTAAATTGCTTATTAAAGACAGAAGTACGTAGAAAGAGATTAAAAAAAGAAGGTTTAAATGTATAAAGGTTGGTTTAAATTAAGAATAAAATCAAAACAAAAGCGAAAACTTACAAAGTTGGTCGTAATTAGATTCCCTATTGTTATCAAGGGTAAAATGAATGTTAAATAACTTATTCACGAATCGCTGAAACTTCGAAACAACACTAAACATTATCGTAAAAGTCGGTTAAAACATGATATTAACGGTTATTTTCTCAGGTTACATGATCCCCAATTTGGTTTACGCAACTAACACATTGCATAACAACCATGGAAATCTTTTAAATTTTTTTTAACATTAACTGTTTTAACAATTTAGCTGAATCCATACGCTATTTGAATATATAATAACCGAGGTGGTTTCATTGTTCGCTGGACGCGGGTCGGACAGACCCCTGATGCGACTTATAAATCACACACTGACCTTTTATGTGGTCACTGTCAACTGAATATTTTGAAACCATTCAACTGAGGCATGTGTTTTCTTTTGTCTGTTTGTGAAATAATTAAAGGGTTTCATATGACATTATGAAACAATATTTGATACTGAATTATGATAATATAAAAATTAAACGTTAATTATGTTGCGTGTAATAGCGTTTTAATTAAATTACGTAATAAGCTTGAAAAACGGGCCACTAACTCCTCATTATTTTACATACACTCAACGGTATCTCTGACATTTCCATAAGAGGCTCACATATCTGCATCTATTTTATTGACATATTTCAAGCGGATTTTTAGAATGAAACAATCGTTTTTAAGTCTTAGTCTGTTTCCCTAGTTATATACGCAATTATTACGCTAATTTAGAAAACAGGGTCGTACAATAAACCAAGACACTATAAAAATGTTATTATTAAGGAAACAATTTTGAAATGTTTGTATGCTTTTGAATAAACGTTTTAATGAAAACTGACAGATATGTCATTTCAATATAACAAACGATAACTAAAACATTTCAAAATTGTAATTGTAATTTAACATTAAAATATGCTATTAATGTATTGGCAGTTTGATTTGTTTGACGGCCGGAGTTTATACAGCACAATCATTTACCTGATTGCATAGCTCTATTCGCTTAAACGTGTATAATAATGAATTAAATGTCGTTATTGTGTAAATTAAACATTATGACATAAACTAAACAATAACTAAGAGGAGGTTAGTGCCACGAGAAGCGTAATATCATTTCTTCTATGCTCGTAAAAGTAATACTTTTTCAGTCTTGCTTAAAAATGTTGTGCTTTGTAAAAATTCCTTGCGCATAGCACTAACAATTTCTGAATTCTAATACATAATAGTATTTGCTCCGATACATAATGAGAGTATTCTCATTATGTATCGCTCTTCACTTACAAGCACTTATGAAAATAACAGGGGGTAAATGGGCAGGAGGCTCATCTGATGCCTAGAGATATCGCCGCTGACATTGCCAGAGGGCTCACAAATGTGTTGCCGGCTTTTAAGAATTATTGGTACGCTCTTTTTTTGAAGGACCCTGTGGAATTGGTTCGGAAGTACTTCAGTGGGCAGCTGGTTCCATATAGTGGTGGTGCGCGGCAAAAACTGCTTTAAATAACGCTCACTGGAAAGACGGACGTCGAGGTTATATAGGTGGAATTTCGCTATCTGCCTCGGCGTCCGATGATGAAAGCCAGGTCTAAAATAATATAAACACGGGTCGATTCGATTTTTCTTATTGTTGTTCATTTTGAAAAATTAATTTTGATAATTTTCAACAAACTAACAGAAATGCGAGAAACGCCTAATAAGTTTAAAGGAATTGTAATAAATTGATCAAGGAATAATTTTTAATAAAAGATTACAGCTTGTATTAAAGAAACTTGTATAAAACGTAACGTGTGCATTTATAAAACGATAATTTCATTAATACCGTGAAGTTAGGCACAATAGACGAATTTGCAAACGTTTAAGCATTGTATGAAGTCAAAACGTAGGATAAGCAAGTTAGGGCTAATATAATTGTCGGGCCTCAGACAGGCCATTACTCAGCCTGACTCAGCCCAACGAGCCGCTGAACCACAGTGCATGTTCCTGGTGTAGTAATTCGGAGGCAGCTGTAATTAACGATTGAGAAATTCTTTACCGCTCGTTGCAGTGGTTCATAAACGATATTATTCCTTTAAATAAAAAAACTTGATTATCAGTGAGAGACTGACCACGAATATCATTCTTTCACGAACATGCTGCAAATGCAGCTCCTTACAAACATTGTGTAAAACAAAAACTTGGCTATTAAAAAGACTGGCGGAGAGTTTATTGCCAGTTCTTCTCGGCCGTTCTACGCCATTGATTTGAGAACTGGCAGTAAATGTAAAATTAGAAGCATTTAAGTGTACATTGTGTTACCTATAAGAATAAATGATTTTGATTTGATTTGATCTTAAAAGAGTACCGTTGAGTACATACCGTTTAAATATATATAGTATACTAAATTTTAAGTAGCACTTTTATTCAAATTAGTATAAATGAATTGTAACAGAATAGGCCCAGATATGCGGAGGCGTAAGACAAGGCAATCCTTTGTCACCAAAAATATTTGTAGCGGTTCTCCAGAACATTATGAAAAACTTTCAATTGGAGAAAAAAGGTATAGAAATAAACGGTCAGCACCTAAGCAACTTGAGATTCGCCGACGATATAGTTATTTTCTCAAACAGTGCTACGCAGCTACAAGACATGCTTAACGAATTGGTTTGTGCAAGCAGAAGCATTGATTTAGAAATGAACACCTCTAAAACTAAAATTATCGCTAACAGCAAAGAACGACCAGATTTTGTCAATACCACGTCTCTTGAATATGTCCCGAGCTACATATACCTATGGAAGCAAATATCGTTTAGTCATAACAGACATGTGGATGAAACACCCAGAAGAGTAAACCTAGTATGGAACTAATTTTGTGCGTTAAAAGAAGTTCTGAAATCCGACCTTAACTTAAGTATAAAAAAAGTGTGGTACTTGGGGACTGCAACTTACGCAATTATTTATTTATTTTTTATTTAAGCAGTATGTTTTTTCTTTGATATTCAATCTACCACTCTACCAGACTTCAGACTAACACGCCTATATAGTCTGTCTCACTCTAACGCGTACCGGCTGCACCGGCCGCGCTTACGCTACGTCACTACGTATTATAAAAAAAATATAAATATAAATTTTGTTCTGTTATTATCACTTAGGGCTTTGAAAGATAGATAGTAGCCGATTCTCAGACTTATTGAATATGCATAAAAAATTTCATAAGAATCGGTCGAGCCGTTGCGGAGGAGTATGGGAACGAACATTGTGACACGAGAATTTGATATATTAGAAGATTGCGATGGTCTTAAAAGTAATTAAGTTTAGTTATACAGGAACACATCACGTTAAAATTAATAACTTTGAATATAACATTTAAATAGTGAAATTAATACTTCATTTACTAAAATTTTTGTTAGAGCATCGACTATTGAATCTGTAATATACTATAGCTAAAGCTGAACCTGAGCTGAAAGCGAGTACTTTCTACAACCTGACCTTAACTTGTTGTCAAGCGGTTTTTAAGATGATAGTAAAAAAAAATACCGCGTCCTTATCTTTGACGGCAATCTGGTAAAGTGCTACTCTTAATCCTACGTTCCGTCTTGATACCTAAATACTTTTCTCTTAAAAAAATACTGAGAAATCCAATATTCTAGAACTAAAATGAGCCGCGTGTGTCTGGCAAAGAAGATTTTTAATTTCCTCTACAAAACATGATCAATGAAACAGACTCTAAAATGTGAAATGAAATGTAATATGTCTCATGGAACCAACAACAGAGCTGGTGCGGCTTGTGATGCGGCTGAAAAAGCTAAACCTTGCAAATACCCTCCGAATATGATTTTGTCCGATTCGGTGTCGAGACCCTTGGTCCGTGGGGTCCTAGCGCTATGAGGCTTTTTAAGGAAATAGCAAGAAGGTTAGTCGATATCACAGGAGACCGAAGAGCTGGCAGCTGCCTCGGACAAAGATTTAGTCTAGCTATTCAAAGGGGGAACGCTACCATCTTTGGAACCTTGCATAAAGGGACTCCTTTTAATAATATATTTCAGTAATTATATTTTAAGGTTAGTCTTTGATATTGAGACAAAATTAACAATAATTATTATATAGGCAATACAAAAGACCAATTCTGAAATAGCAGACAAATTCCTAGGGAATAAATTCTCTATGAAAATATGAAAATGTTTGAGTGTGGTTGGCGAAAGGCCAGGGCCATTGTAAAATGACTATACCCGGGCTATTTAAGACGCCTGCGTCGCAATACTCGGGTCATGATACCCGGCCATTACTATAACCGGGTAATGACGCTTATTTCGAATTAATATTGCAAAACCACATTGGTTTGCATTTAATAGGGCAATTCGCTCTTTTATGACATTTTGGTTTTTGTAGTGGTCTGAGTCCTGGATTCTATTCTCAGCGATGTAATAATTGTATCAGAATACAAACGGCTCGGGTAATAGGACTTAAAATAAATATTAATTTGTAAGTGAATCTCACACAGAAAATATTGCATTAAAAACACAAACAAGCGTGTATGATGCACGTTTGTTTTATCGGTTCCGAGTGACTGCAGATTCTGTAGCTTGTAGAAATGGGGACTTCAACAAAAGGGTCAGCCTGGCATGTCCTCAGAGCATCGTTCATAACAGATAGAGATCTATTTAGAACCAACGTTAGTTCTCACGGCCCGATCGTAAAAAAGGCTTAGCTTATTAGTGGTATATTTTCTTAAATTTAATTTACTTCGTTGAAAGCATTTGGCATAACTACCAAGTGTTATTTCATCTAGTAATTGTGATATATAAGATTTTATTTACACAAATACAGTATTTACAATTTTCTTAACCTATAAAGTAATAATAAAAATAATTAAAGAAGAAAGAATAAAATCAAAACAAATTTAAAAAGTTTGGTCCCTGTGGCAGTGTACCTTTAACGCTGGCAGCATTTCCTCGCTGTATTGCGAGACTTATTCTTTGAGCCAGGAAAGTGCCAGCTCTGTGGTCACCGGTACTATCTACCAGGCGCCAACTTAAATCTTTAATAAGCGCCTGTGCACTTGAACCCCACGGCCCAAGAGTCTCTACTCCAAAGGGAACAAAATTGAAGTTGGAGGAAAGACTCTTATATTTGTGCCGTTTGTTAATTTTTGCCTGTTCTGCGGCCGCGCCAGCTTTTTTGCTTGTCCGAAGGAGATGAGACGGGGCAAAGGTGTCTACACAGGTAGCATCCCATACTAATGCCCGTCCCATTTTCCAAGGGATCAAAGACATTCCATCCGGCCGCTTGCCATCGTCTCTTGCGATGCCTGTTGGCTCCAAAATTGCTGGAACATTGACGGAGGCAAGAGAGCGGCGTATAATGTCGTTTAGCGCGGCATGGCGAGAAAAACGACCTGCACTCTTTTGGCAGTGTAGGCCATGGTGTCCAAGGCTACTTACTTCAAAACCACAGGGACACTTATTTCACCTTAATATTTTTTATAAACTTTTAATAGCTTAGAAAGCTTTTGGAAATGATTTCCCTTTATTAATAATTTTAAGATTCTTTATCGTATAAATATGGCATAGTTCAGTCTATTTGATATGATTGTTACTATTTGAAACTCAAATAATATACAAAAAAACTAATAAAAATATATAAATTTCGAAGGACCCAATACCTGAGTACTCGAATACAGCCATGAAAATTAAAAACCCGATAAAAGGCATACGGAAGGAAAAGCTGCAATCGTTAAAAATTAATGACAGAAGCATTAAGGTTAGGGAAAATGAAAAGGTTTCAAAGCGTTAGCCTCACGCGGTATTGTCCACTCAGAATAAAAAGCTTAAGCAACAACACAGGAACTCACTTACCGATCATATTATGCCGACTATGCGAACACTTTACCAGCCACGACCTCAACCGTATACGATACGAACAGATACGACAGCTTAAAATGTATTTCTATTCTATCAATACATGATACAGTACAAGAGAAATAGGTTAAACTATCAGTAAGTTGAAAAACTAACTGGCCTATGAGCCTGGAGTGTCCTATTTGAGTACTGTTTTTGTGTTATTATTAAGTAAGTAAGTACCCAAGTATTATTTCTATTACCTATATAACCGAAGAACTATAAGAAGAATCTGCCACCCCTTTACTTGATTATATTGGAGTATCTCCAACGGACAGCGTAACGTTACCGTGGATATTACAATATATTTAAGGAAAAGTTTAGAATTTTCAAAAGCCTAATTTGCTGTAGGATACGACAAATCGGTTAATATGAATGTTATTAACCCTGCGACACCATCAGTCATTCTTAGGACCGCAGTGCCTTTGTGATTGGGTTATATAATTTCATAAGAGGTTTTCATTCTGCATGAATGTATGAATATTGGCGCTAGTTTAACCAAGTATTCATTATTAAAACTAAATATATTCTTTTGTTAGATATATAGTTTTCGTAACTGTTTTTTTTTTTTTTACAAACTTTATTAGAAATCGTCAGGAGTTAGTAGTGACAAAAATGATTCATTAAAAAATACATACCGATAAAAAAGTGCAAGTATAGAGACAAAATAAGTACTTACTTTAATATTGTTTTATGTATATAAATTTCATCTGCTTTGTGAATCGTACTTGAAAAAGTTCCCTTCAAATATTTCCATCTGTAACCGTTTGCGTTTCTTCAAACCCATCGATAGATAGCAAAGTGATAGAAAATAGATGAAACAAACGCAAGATGTAAACAGGTTGTCAAAGAAAATGTAAATTCGTCCTGGGAGCGACCTCTCCTTCGAGACAGAGGGCGAACGTTTATTTATGCCGTATGAAATATATATATGGTACGTTTTAGGGTTCACAAGATGTGCGTCTTACTTCTGAGTTCGAAAGAAAGTGATCCCGTTGACGATCTTTCTATCGACATTGAAACCGAATACGTTAAATAATGATGAACAAGTCGGATAAATGAATATTAAAAATAATTACACAGTAATGAAGGAACAGATGATTTTGTTCTGAAGCGTAACTTTAAATTAATTCAACAAAAACAATTTATTTAAATATGAGATGTCAAGTTTTTGTTTTAGGATATGTAAAATACAAAAACATAAACGCTTAGAAATAATATCCGGGACAAATAGGAATTTAAAATCCAATTTAAATTCGAGAAGCGCGCGTCCCCGCGGACCGTGGGACTATCGTCCGGGAAATGAAGGCTCTACTTGCCTTACTGCCTTTTGTAGACCGAGAGATCAATCATTTAATAATTTTCAATACAATTTATTACTGTGATAATTTGTATCTTTCAATAAAATGAGTTATGATTTTGTCAGAAGAACTAAACAAATTTTGGTTTTAGCAGTTTACCCTCCGCAATATGCTTCTTCTTCTGAAGAAAAAGTGTAATCATGTAGTCATTTCACTTATACTTTATCATAAAAATATAATTAATATTTTTGCACAATTTATTATATAAACTTAAAATTAATATAATATACTCGTATGGATATGAAAATCACAGCTCTCTTTGCCTAAAACAACGTGTTTAACGTTAGTGTTTAACGCTTAATGTAGTGACTGTAGTCTGAAACAGGTCTCTCAGTGATATTTAGTGCTTTTGTTTGAATTGAGACTCGGGAAAGAATTCTTATTATATGTTTTCTTATTAAATTGTCTCTTCTTTGAGACATCATTGAACATTTCGATGTAGCCTTACTTAAACTAAGTATTTTAAGTCTAATTTACTAATAAAGATATTTAACATGAGAAAGTGTCCAACACTACTTACATTCTCTATTAAGGAGTAGACACTCTGTTCTTGTGTTCTATTTTTTTCACTTACCTCTGTTTAGCAGTTAAGACTAACGTGCACCAACAC